CATCGCGAAAAAAATATAATTGTCAAAACAGCCCTGAAAATCGTGGTGCAAAAGTCTTTCACAAAAGTCAAGACGAAATTAAGCTATAATCAATATTTAGTTGCTCCTCCTTTTGCCAAAAGTACTTCTTTAATACGAGTAGGCATCGATGCAATTAATTCATCAAGAATTCCAGGTCCAATCGTCCTCCAAATTTTTCGAGGTAAAACCATAGCTCGACTTTAGAGTTGAATAGTTTTCCTCGCAATTTCGATTTCAAATAGGCCCATAGACTCTCGATAACATTTAAATCCTCACCTAAAGAAATCACGTTGGGCTACTTAAAAAGAAAATTATCCTCACCGAAAAACATAATTGATCCTCCGCCTGTTTTCACCGTGGGTTGCAAGTACTTGAGTTGATATCGCTTTCCGACTGGACGTCGGATCAGGTGATTTCGATTTGAAGGAAAAATATCAACTTTTGTTTCATCATTGATTGTCCAATTTGAATAGGTTCGAGCAAATTGAAGGCGTTGCCTCCTGTGTTTGGCTGTCAACATAGGCTTGCGAGCAGGTCTTCTAGTATGCAATGCTGCTTGAAGGAAGCATCGATGCAAGGTCCAGCGGGAAATATTCTTGTTTGAAGTTTGCTTGAAAAGAATGGCTCCATCGTTCAACGTCAAATTCGGATCCTTCTTGAAAACTCCCGTAAGGAATCGGTCTTCATTCTTTGTTGTAATCCTCGGCCGTCCCTTTTTCCTACATCTGTGCACATTTTCAGACGCATTCATTTTTGCCATAACAAGAGAAACTGTTGTGGGTGTACATCCTAAGAGGCAAGCAACGTCTTGTCGTGACATCCCTTGTTTCCTTGCCTTGACGATCATTTCTTTATCCGGAGTTGACAAATACGCTCTTGGCATCTAAAAAAAAATAAATTAGTACCAGTAAACAAGAAGCGAACGAAAATAATGAGAATTTTTGCAAGTGTTAAAAGACTTGCATCACGATTTTCAGGGGTGTTTTGGCAATTATGTTTTTTTCTCGATGAATAAGTGTTGTATAGCGATAACGTTTGTGGAAATAAATTGTAGATATATTTGTGTAACTAAAACTATTAATAGCTTAAAGATAGCCATGAACTTTATCAGAGAAAATTGATGAAACTTTTTAGAAAATTGAATGTGAAAACTTTTGCACATGACTGTATGAACGTTTGTTTAAGAGTAAAGTAGACTTCGCGACACTCCTATAGGATGGGGTTCTATTAGAGTATTTATGGCACGCATTTTGCTGTATTCGTATTTTGTACCTGCGTATTATTTTATCCAATAAATCTGAACACTGCTGTTATTCGTTTGCGTTTGAACAAAAGTTTGCGGTTGTCTTGCCCAAGGCTCTTTGATCTTTACTTTTAACTCTGGTTGACTTTGGGCAATACTGATAGGCTTGATGCTGATGTATTAGTATTCTCGCTTAAAGCTTGACTTCTTTGTCCTGAGATATTCAGCTAGCCTGGTGGAATCTGGAATAGCTATATCGTGCTTGCCTTGTGTCCCTAACTTGACTGATTCAGCTTTATTGTTTTGTCTAGGTGCTTTATGCGGTTCAGTGTTTGCCTTTTGTTTCACCTTCCCATCATTTTTTCAAAAATGCAATTATTTGAGTCGCTCGACTGCATTTTGTGTCAGGAACCGTGTAGGTGTGGACTTTTTTATTGCCAGATTAAGTTTAGCAACCCTATTGGCTAAAGTGTTTGTTTTTAGTTGCACGAGTCGCCAATCAACTTCGATGATCGCGAATTTTGCTTTGCGATTTGGCAATGTGCCAAAATATTATTATTTTATATTCCACAAATAGGGAATCTAAATGATTCGCCAAAAAGAAATGTTTTAGCTGGGTTTTTGCGAGGTTTACATTGCACAACCTAAATTTGAGTTATAATTTACTTTTAATTTTAAATTAATTTTAAAACCATTTCAAAGCCATTTCAAAATCCAGAACTTTTAAACTATGTTCCAGCTTCCAATCGCGAAAAAGAATGGTTGTGGCGGGGTTGAGTATTGTTGCGAGAGCAGTTTGTTGTTGATCATATACGAATCGATGCGATGAAGAGCCAAGATCACTCAAAAAACCGAAAAGATCCAAGAAAATTTGGGGTAAATATTGAAGCTTTGTAAAAATTGAATAAAGCTTTTGTTTCTACATATTTGAAAAGCTAGAGAGCAAACCTTGGTAGTTTAACGCTTCAGCCAAATATTGGTTGTTTGCCCGATTATCTCAAAAAAACAACAAGAGCCTATTGAAATTCCAAGTTGGTTTGATTTGAATTGCTGAAGATTCTGAATAAGAAGACCTTCAACAGTATACAAGCTTGTAATTTTTTTGAAGAATTTTACCATTTAAAGATCTTGACTCTATCCGGTCCGTTAAAATAGATTGGTTGCTTTAATCTATCAAGAAAAAACGAACAAAAACGAATTGATTCACACCTTGTTTTTAAAATTTATTGGAGTGGGCTAGATTTTCTTTTACCATTTTGATTATTTCTTTGCTTACTTTCAATTCCAAAAGCCAAATATCGTAAGGAGCCTCAAAATTAGCAGAGGTGAGATTGCAACGAGAATGCCGGATGACTTTTTTTTTGACGAGCAACAATGGGTTCGGTCCCCTCCGAGAAAATTAGTTTTGCTTTTCTTTTCAAAATGGATTTTAACTGTTGGAAAGTCAATTTCGTTAGTTTTCTACTATCTATAAAAGGGAAGAGACGCCCGTCTGTCCAAATAACATTATGCGCCACATTGTCTACAATAAAGTCCTCGAATAAACTATGGAAAAATTAACCCATGAGCCCCAGTCACAGATCTTTAATCTGGGTCATGGGGGGAGAGTGTTCCTAGACCTCAGCGTGGTCCTCCCTGGAGATTCCCATATTTGGGATAAGCTAACTATAGGAATTGGTTTAAAATAACTTGGATAAATGAAATAAATGGATCGCTGACTACGTTCAGCCCCAACTGTCCAGCGGCGTTAGCCAAAAAGATTCCTGTTTACAAAGCCAATATGATTATCGATTGACACGACAACAAGGATTATAAATTTACGTGAGACCTCAACCAGCAGCAGTTTAAACTGCTGGCACTTAATAATGGGGCATACCTTGAATAAATTTGTTTTGCAACTCTCGATAATTGCTTAGATAACATGGTTGTTTAAAAAGGTTTTTTGAAAATCTGCAAAAAGTCGTACTTTCAAGCTAAACAGTGCAAATTACAAAAATTTCTTTTTCTTCAGCTAATTCCAATGTGCAGAAGTGCCAATTTTGAAGAAAATAAATTGCTCTTTAAAAACAAATTGCTCTTTAAAAATGCACAATATGAAAAATTGACGAACTTTCGCATATTGAGTAATGGATGAAGAGCCTTTTCTTTATAATATATATGAAAATATTCTAGCAGTTATATTTGCACCCTTTAATTTACTTGCACTTTACTGTATTCTTGTCAAATCGCCGCCGGAAATGAGAGAATATCGCTCACATCTTGTTGTCTATCAGGTAAGAACGAACTGAGCGTTGAACGGACAAAAACTAACTGCAAATTGTCGTTTTTGAAATGCGTCAAGTGCATTGCTCTAGTCAATGTCAAAAAAATCCACGAAATGCACTCAAACTACACTCAAAGTTGCATTTGGGGAGGCCAGATTGCTCAATGAAGCTTGAAATGGATTGTGGGACCTTTTTATACGCGAGGCCCGAGGCGCAAGGCAATCTAGCTTTGAGCTCAAATATCTTGGTGTTGGGCTGTTCAATTTAAATAGTTTTTGTACCAATCGACAGAAAAAGACTTGGCGAATCCAATAATACCAAGAATATTAAAATTGAACAGCCCAACACCAAGATATTTGAGCTCAAAGTTAGATTGCCAATGGCAGAAGGGGTGGGGCGTGGATCAAATGTCCGTTAATCTTTGAAATGGCTCAAAAATGTAGAATAGTTGAAACAAAAAGTGCTTTAACAAAAAATGCTTTGATTACAACAACTGATAGAATTGTAATCAAGAAATTTAGAGCAAATATATTGCCAAATATATTTGAAAGCTAAATTTTAGGTTCTAACCCTGTCTCTTGATGTGTTGGTTGTTTTGGCAAGGGCCGAATTACACTTCCCTTCGCTTTCCGGGCGTATCCATGGCATCTGGGATTCAGTTTTTGACTTTGGTGCTAAACAGGCATTGGTGAGTTCAACAATCCTGTCGCCAGCTCTTTGATGAAATTGTTGTCTTGAAATCTCACTTGTCCACAAGAAGGCGCGCATTTTTGTGGTGAACTCCTTGACATAAACGCACACCTTCTGGGGCACAAATAAGAATCATTTTCTCTGTTCAGAGCATCGGTGCTTTTCTCGTGGCTGCCATTTGCGGTTCAGTGAGCACTTTGTTATTTTTCAAATGGCAAAGTCTTCAACAAAATGACAGCTTTTGGAAGTTAAATACAAAACAAAATTCAACAAAAATGTTAAGTGTTTAGATTCTCAAAATGCGGATATGTTTGCTATATGCTTCTCATGCTCGGTTTCTTACCTGGACTTTTCTTTTTTCTGTTTGAATTTGCGCCATTAGAAAAGGGATCACAGAGTCAATTTCTTTGGGAGGGGATTGTGGTTGGTGAAGTCGCAATTGATTAGGATTTCTAAGATTTGGAAGCTAGGTTGGACAATGCCAAACTTTGGCCACCAACGTCTGACTGAAAGCTGGCCTGGGCCTGGCTTCTGGGCGCCTAGGGACTTTTTAAAGGCTCAGATCAGGAAAGGCCTAATCCTGGCCTGATCTAGGCTCAAAAACTTACTTTCGAAGAACCATGCCGTAAGCTAGAACTACCTCAACTCTGGATGGTACTTCTGTGAGCTGAAGCCAGGCTAACCAAGTTCAAAACCAAAATTACCCTAGTTCTTAAAAGTTAATCCAATGAAGTTCTTTGTAACAAATTCAGAAATATCCAAAGTTTACTTATCTTTCAACAATGCCTAACATTTATTCAAGTGCAAATGTACCGATCTATCCACCCTATCTCAACTTTTCAACTATTCACGTAGTTATTTGTAGCCTCTTTGTTTGTACGATATCCTGGGCGTGCACGGTGAGTGCTTCTCTGTTTCTCTGTTGTTTCTCCGTTAATTGGCAAAATTTAGGGCATAACTTTCATCATTGGATGTGACAGTCTAATCTCCACGGCCGCGCTTCATGCAAGTGAAAAAACGAAACGAATGCAACGGAAATATTTTCAGTCACTTTGTATTCAAGTGAGATGACAAATTAAGCTAGAAATAGAATCTTGGCCTGGTTTCTGGCCTGTCTGACATTACTACTAGCCTGGCCTGGCCTTGAACTCGACTACTAGTTTGATCACTAAAGTAGTCAGAAGACCTGAGCTTTGCTTTTGGACTGGTTTGCTAAAGCCCCTAGATCCAACCAGACCATGAACCTAGTTACTTGCTTGGGCTAGTCCAGTCTGGCAGTCTGGCTAGGATCCTAATCCTAGTAGAATAAAAAAGTTTGAACATTCAAGACAAGGCTTACTCAAAGTTTGCCGAAAGAAGCCTGAGTTGCTGTTGAACACCCAGTCAACGCGTTTAAAAGACCGTACAAACCAGAAGCTAGGTCTTCAGCCTTACTTGAGTTGGCACAGCCTTCAAAACTGACCTAAGCTGGCCTTTGGGCAGCCAGAAGTCAGAATTGGCCTCGCTTAGACTCGCTTCAGCTTGTCTTGTATTTGGACATCTAGAAATCAGAGCTTGATTGCTTGATACAATACCAAATACCGTTTTCTGTCAACATGTTCTCCTTTTAGCTATCGATTCCGCTAATATCTCACTCATTGCCCTGGTTCTACTATGCCGCAATTATTGCCACTAGTCAAGACTTCATTAATCAGTGTAAGTTAGCTAAATGGCTTCAAAAATAAAACAACTTTAGCTTTGAACAATTTCTTTTTCTCGATAATGAGCTCTCATGGAACGGTTTCATCGATTTCTTTGCTCACTTTAACTCATCCGTATCGAGTATTCGTTTTGAGCCAACTACGGAAAATCCCCTTTCTAAAATTCTGCCTTGCCCAGAAGCAAAAACTTCATATCGCTGTGGCTTCTGCGACTTTGGAGAACACTCGAGAAGTGCCATAAAAGAAACATTTTGTTTGAGCTTCTTTTCTGTTTGCTCATGAATTTATTCATCTACAGAATACAGACGTTGAATCTGTGACTTGTTTAGAGACATCTAGCAGCAGTATGTCAAAGCATATTGCAGTTAGTATTGCATTTATTCGGTAAACAAGAGAAAACTCATCAATTGACATTTGTTGGAAAGTTCAAATAATATCTATCACTGTTCCCTTTTTCACCGAGCAGCCCATACAAATCCAAGCAGATTTTTTCGAAATTTGGACCATCTTTTGCCTCAAATTCCCAACATGACTCGGCTAGGGCTTTTCTGGAAATTTCAATTTTCTTTTTAAACTTAAACTCTTCACATTTCTTTTGGCCTTTCATCGGGAAGCACCAGTCGATATCCGTATTTCAGATGTTTATACACATCCAAATTGTCAATGGAAACGAATGGAGAATTGCCGAAAGTGTACAATTCGAAAAGGAACACTCCATAAGACCATCTAAATGAGAAATGGGGCATAAACCGGAAATATTTTGTGCTTACACATCAGTTTTCTTGCTGAAAACGAAAGTTTTGATTGCCTCGGGTGACATCCATTTGATAGGAAGAATCACTGTTCATGTGTTTGAACAGATGAAGCCTTTTGATATGTATAAAAGAGTGTCATTTCGTCGACATAAGCCAAGATCTAAAAAGAATTTCAAAATCTAGTGAAGAGAAAACCTACGAAATTCAATGTGTCTGACTAGGGAAAGGCATGAACTCAAGTTGAGCTTTTGTCTGGACATTCACTGCACTTCATAGGGTATGAGGAATCAAAATGTAATACGCCAATGTAGAAGAGTTCAAAGAGAAAAGGCTGTTAAAGTTCGTAAATGTCTGAAACAAGCATTTTCCAACAAGATTAGCGTGTCAACAACTATTGCTCAGAAAAGACGGCCAAGCGATTATGCCAGTGAATCTCAAAGGATTCAATGATAGCCTTTTGATCAACACGATTCATTTGAAAGTGAATTACGAATTTTAGAGCTGAAACAGTGTTATGAAAACTTTATGAGGCTGATGAAATTGTTTTCATAACAAGTCTCAAATTCAAAGTTCAAATTAGTAGACCTAATAAAATGAATAGCTCCAATCGATTGCCCGATCGCGAAAACCCCCGGGTACAAATTTACAGCCAAATATCTTCTTTTTTGCCATCAACAAAGCAAAATAGAAAACCCAATGTAAATGACAGGCGAAGTGTTCTTTTGCTCGCAATCTGGTACATCTCCCTGGTTTCAAAGGCTTCTCTTTTGAAGCCGTAAAAGGGAAGGAGTGGTGAGCGACTGAGTCGGCTTCGCTTTTTTTCCGCATCACTATGCACAGCCTTTTAGAACCAATTTTTACCTTAAATTTGCTTGTGTTTTTTCGAATCTCTGCATCTCTGTAAACCAAAAATAGCTGAAACACTCGAGGGAAATTTAGTGAAAATCGGTCCTTTTATGGTTTCAAGAAAAAGCACTTGTACTTCTGATAAAAAAGCTGCAATGTGCGTTGGTTTAAGTGAAGCTGACTATGAGATACAGCTTTTCTTCACTACAGTGAATTCTTGTAGCATTGACAAATACAGCATCGACAAGTCATTCAACTAGTACGCCAAAGGACATTGAAATAACTCCTAAATCGGGTTCTAGCTTATTCTCTTGGGTACTTTTCCTTGTTTTCCTTATTCCTTTTCCTTTTCCTTTTCCTTTTCCTGCTCGTCGTTATTTCAATCGATGTTGATTTTTAATGATTACTCCAATAAAAGCTTTTCAAAATGTATCTCTTTTCGTTAGTCCTAAAATGACAAACGCAACGCTAAAATAACGCTAACCAAATTGATTAAATGAAAACAGAAATTGCAATCAAAAGCCTGCTTGATTGTAAAAAAAGCTGTTGACAAACGAGTTATCGTTTATTGGGGTGAGCCGTTGAAAAGTCGTCGTATTACTGTCGAGATTGACGACAACGCCTGGAAATCTTGAACTTGCGATTTTTCGACTTTGGCTTCATCGATTGCTAAATCTAGCAAAATCCGAGTAGACATGTACTGGTCTAGCCCAAAATCACACTTTTGGGTTTTGATTTTTGAAACAAAAAAACAAAAAATCTCCGTTTCATCTTTGTTTCTTGATAATTTTTTGCCAATTTCCTTGAAAAATGACAAGGCAGCGTTATGACTCGTACCGCGTTATGACTCCTTTCCACGTTGCAGAGCTTGCAGAAACAAGAGGAGGAGAGTATCGCAAGTTCAATAAGCTCTGCAACGTGGAATGAAGAGCTTATCACTCATAAGGCTAGATCAGCGCTGATAACGTCGTGGATGACAAAGACTTCGAAAAGAATTCTCACATCAGTTTTCTTTTTAGTATAGCTTCAAAGTGCCAATTTCGATTTCAAGTTTAAACCAAAAGTAGAGTAGTTGTTGTTGTTTTCTAAATGCACGTTGTTTCTTTTAGCATCCTTTTTTCTTGCAAAATGTGTTGTGTTAAGCTATCTCTATCATTTTTAAAATTGCAGATGGTTAATATTTACGAAGAGTGGAAAAGAAAAGCCGATTCTTCTCCCGTCAAGATTGTCAACCTGGTTTATCAAAGAATTGTAAGTCAGTGTATCTACTATATTATAATTTTGAAAAATTGTCTGTCGGTTTGTGTTAGGTGTCTGTTACCACGATTTCGCTTCACCAGTTGCGTTTTGCAAAGGATAAAGCATTGAACTAAGGGTAATCGGGGGCGTGAAAGAGGGGGAAGTGGTCAGATTTTTAAAATTTCTACGCTTTTTGATATCAAATATGCAAATTTCTGAAAATGAAAGAACCGATCGGAGTTTTGGCAAGAATGGGGGAAAGGAGAGCTTTCGTATGCAAATTTCCAAATGGTGATTTTTAAGGTTATTGCTAATTTTAGCCGTGTAGCGGATGTTCAGCGTAGCTGGTATTTTATAATAGTAAAACATAAACATACTTTAGTCTGAACAGCCAAAAAAACGGAGTTGGACGCCGACTTATGAAGGGGAATTGATCGGAATGCCTAGTGTATGGTTTTCTGTGCGCACGGCAGAGGATGAAGAAGAGGATGAAGAAGATGAAATTTCGAGTAGCTTAGCTTTAGCAAAAAAAAATTTTGCTCAAAATAACTATAACTTGTTTTATTTCAAAAACTCTGAAAAGATTGCCAAGAAGCCAGCAGTATATGAGGTTTTAATAATAGTGACCATTGATGCTGAACAAAAAGCTGTTTTTGATGATCTTGGAGAAAATTTTGTGCAACTTAACTCCAAGGAGAACCCTTTCTTTTTTCTTTTTAAAGACAAATGGCACACATGTTCAAAAATTTGCTCTTATCAATGCAAAGTAAAACTTGCTTTTTTGCAAGACCTAGAACTTCCTGGTTTTGGTTGGGATCGATCAATCGAAGTAGAAAACGAAGAAAAACGTTCCAAACTTGCAAAAATCCTTGTTAAACAATGGGTCAATTCTTTGTCGGATAATACATATGAATCACCAAGGCCAACGAAGCCTATATCGGGTAGGTAAATGTATTTTCTCTTTGAAATTAACTTTTCAAATTTAACTTTATCAAATTAGAAAATTTTAGGTAAGAGTGGTGATCTGAAAACTCTTTTACTGGACAGCTTGAATTGGAAGGATAAATTCAAGGATTGGAAGAAAAAGGACTGCACCTGGGAAGACTACATGGTTGAAACATCAGTGGCTCATCGAGTTTCAAAATTTGAAGTAAAAACTTTTTGAAATCTGCTAGCATAAAACTGATGTATTATTTCTCATTTTACATAGTTAAGCCAGCAGAACAAGTGACTAACTCTGTCAAATATGATTGTTTAGAAAATTGACAACGTTAAACGACCCGAGACTCCGAATCCGCATTGGGGACTTGTGTATGATGAAAACTACGATGGTGCCCTTGTTGGCTGTGTTGGAACTTTTTTTGGAACGACGCGTTATAAAAATTGTCTTCCTGACAAATTGCCGTATCCAATTGGTGGTATCTCGTCTCAAAAATACGATCGAATGACTATGGTGTTACCTTCAGAAGCTGTTAAACTATGGTATCAAAGAAAGCCCTATTACACAAAACCCATGAACCAAGCCTTGTACACATACCAAGTCATTATAGTGTTGACAACGCAAGAAGAGGATGAGAAAATTTTTGAAAATCTCCCTGAATACTATGAACCTTTGGAAGGAGTTAACCCGTTTATTTATAAAAATGGTAATAAATGGATGACAAATAACCTTCAGAAGTTCAGCTTTGGAGACATTCAAATTCAGTACAGTGTAAACTTGTTCGTTTTAAAAGGCCCGCCGAAAAGCTGGGTAGTTAAATGGTCAAAGGAGGGTGTTGAGAAAATGGAAAAGAAACTTGATACAAGCTTCGACATGAATGAAATGGCTAGAAAGACTATAGCTTTAAAAGTCTTAAAGCAATGGGCCGCTTACTTCAAGATGAGAACAGCCAAAAAGCGTGAAGAAGAAATGACCGAGCGATTTGGAGCAATGAAAGCAACCTAAATTCAAAAGTAATGATGAAAGAACTTTGTGAACTTTTTGTTTTTATTTTTTGTTTTCCTTTTCTGCTTTTGAGTGAATAAAGTAATTTCTGGTGCAAGATTGTTACTTCATAACAGACCAAAGTTTATTCTGAACATTTAGTGGTGGTGGCATTTTGCAAATGAAACGCGGATACGAAGCTGAAGTTGCAAAGTTTTAGCCTTTAGACGAGCAAGATTGATAGTTGCTCACCTAGAGTTTCGTTTTTATACTTGGACACGCGAGTCCTTATACGCTGATCGGGTAAACACCCTACCAATGAGCTACACCGGCACTGACAAAACAACCGCCAAACTTGTTTCTTGAGTTCTAAACACCAGATTCGAGTTCTGGAATCCCAATTCAGATCAGTAGAGTAGCAAAAGGTATGCCTTGATAGCTATCATAATCAATTCAAACAAGGGAAAGTAAAAATAAATGAAGAGCAAAAATTTTTCTTTCTCTTTTCATTAACTTCCAGCATTCAATGTTTGCATTTCCTCCATCATCCTTCATTGGTTGTTTGCTCTTGTTATCGGTTTCATTTGACAGTCTTTACTTACAATTAACTTTCAAAAATGTTCGAAATTGCAAAATATAAAGAATTCTTGCATTTTTCTTCTTTTTCTTATTTGGACCAATTCGTCTGTGAATGCCTATACACAAATGAATCCTGGGTTTACCACTAGTCCTGGCTCTTATGCTACTTAACAATAAAGACGTTTTGTTTCCGGAATTTGTCCTGCTAATTTTTCTTTCCCCTTCGTCAAATCTGTTATGTTTTATAGCGCGTTTTTAAAGTACTCTCTCCCCTCGTTCGTTTTCTCCTTTTTATATTGTTTGCCCATAGCTCTTGTTTTAAATTCTAATACGGTTTTATTTTGTTTTCTTTTTGGCTCCTTCTACTCTATTGTTTTGAATCGTTTCATACATGACGTAGAAACTCAACTTAACCAATTCCTTTTAACTAAAATGCAAATCTAAATAATCTGCCACGGCGCTATCTTCTTGTTACTTTGTCTTGGGTTTCGTGTCAAATTATTTTAGAAAAGGGTTGGTAAATCTAAAGGTGTTGGATAAGGGAGTTACTAACTATTCTTTTGAATTGTTTTCCTTTTTTGGATTTTTTTCAAACCGTTTAACAGTGTTCAAAAGAGTTTTCAAAGTCTTTCTTTTAAATGCGCCCACATGCGCGATTGTTTCAAGAAGGAAAGCATCCGCGATGGTCGAAAGATCAGTATCGAGCGGAGAATCAGCACATCACGGTTAGTCAATTTAGAACTGAGAATTTTAAACTCTTAAGATGAAAAGATGAAAAAAAAGGAATTTGGTGATCAGATCCTCCTAAAACTGATTTTTCGACAATCAAGCAGGCAAAATTGAGTGGACTGAACAAATCAGTAACATAACTATTAAAAATTGTCTAAAAATTCACTGATCCAAGCCAATTTCCTAATCTTACTAGTTTTCTAGCTTTTCTAGCCTAGGCTAGCTTTTTCCAGTTTACGCGGATTGTTCAACAACATGAGTCCACCAAGATTTCCACAAGAAGAGCCGATTGTTCGGTGGGTTGAAAAGGCTAATATGATTGAGAATTTCAACCTAATTCAACTTTCTTTTGCATATTGCTGCGCTTTAGATTTGTGGTGAATCAATCACGATGTCAACCGTCATGCAGCACGTCGAAAAGCACGTGCGAGTGTTGTCTCGAGCGTGCTCGGCATGCGAATTCTATGTAAGTTTGTATTGGGTTGGGGAGTATGAAATGGCGGCGTGTTCGGACAAACTTTTGAAAAAACTAAACCATAACTTTCTCAAATTTTTTCTAATAACATTTGAAGTTTTGTCGGTCTTAATTTGGTACTTATTTAAGCTTTAGTGACTGTTTTCTAGCCATTTCAAGCAGTTACTGAGGTTTCAAACCTCTTAATTCGGTCCCGCACCTATAAAGCCAGTGGAAATAGAGCCACTCTTAAAGGCTCGGAATTGTTGCTCAAGCTGGCCTAAAAGTTATTCAGAATGGTTTATAAATGCTTCCAGTGGATTCAGTGCAATTAGTCACTTCAGGGTTTTTTTTTAAAAGTTTTTAAAACTAGTGGCAAGTTCGAAAAAACCGGTGTTTACAAACGACCCCCTCCCCAACTGCTATAACATCGTTTTGTTGCTTATAAGTCAAAATTTGATCCCGATCTGATGCACAGTTTTTGAGAAATGGGGATGGATGTGCCAAAGGTTGGTTTTTGACTACCACTTAACATAACGATGTTTGTAACAAAAATATTCGACTAGCATGCTACTCGAATGCTATAGCATCCAGTTAAAGCGGCGATTTTATAAGATGATAAATTAAGTTCTATAATAAAAATTAAAGATTGAAAAAAGACGTGTCTTAGTCCTGGAAATAGTATCGTCAAAAATATCGTATGTATTCTCAAAAAGTGACAAGTTCTTATTCGAAAATTTTTGCTCAACGAAAATTTTAATTTTATGTTTATTTTGGTTAACAAGTTTGTACAAATATTAGCTCAAACAATTTTCGAATCTAGCAATTTGTTGCAAATTTTTAGCGGCCTCGATTTTAAGGGAAAATTAGGCAAAAATCGACTTTTGAACACATCCACTCTCATCTCTCAAAAACTGTGCATTAGATCGGGATGAAATTTGGCGTATAGTCAACAAAACTTCAATTGTTATTAGAAAAAAAAATTTGAGAAAAAGTTATAGTTTAGTTTTTTTGGAAAGTTCGTCGGAAGACACGACCATTTCATATTCCCCAACCCAATAACTTAGTTCAAAATTTGTCTATTAATTTAGCTTTATCAGAAATTGTCACTTTAATCCAATGTTTAGGCGTCACGCGAGCAATTGGTCCAGCAACACATTCGTGAAGTGCATCCCCGAACTGAACAGTGCATTCCTATCCGGTTCGTTACAATAGAACGTAAGATTTACGACGTAAAGCTCTACTTTTTAGCATATTTACAGATGTGTTGATGAAGTAAAAACGCGGGAGCAAACCCGTCAAATCGTCGAGGAAATGTTTCCAGAGCTAATTGCAAAGAGGAATTTGATTGGCATGGTGTGTGGCCAAAAGGTGAGAATACGATTCTGGAAAAGTCACGTAGCTAGGTTTATAAACGTTAAGTGTTGAAAGGTTTCTGAAGTTTTCAACAATTCCTAATGTTAAGATCACTAACGGCTAACAAATTATAAACCGATCTTTTTATAGAGGAAAAGCTTGGACGAAACCTCTGAAAGACAAGCGAAAGCGCAAAGGGTTGAAGGTGGAGCTCAACATTTTCAGGTGGTAATTATTTTCAAAAACAGAAAATCTCCTAAATTTCTATATTAAATTTGAATTATAATTACAGTAACATGTCTATAATTGAAATTTTACCTTTATCAATAAAGCCATTAACTTTCAGCCGCTGAATGCACCCAGGCACAAGTCAATTCGACCAGTGGTTGATCGTCGAAGAATATTTTAACAAAAATGATCACATGTTAACCAATTTTGAGATTTGATATTTGATTTTGATCTCTTCCCGACTCATCTTGCTTTTATTTTTTTGCAATGGTCATGATCTCTTTTCTAACGCTCACAAAATTGCCAAACTGGACTTTTGATGCTTTTGTTGATCTCTCTTTTAGCTCTCATAAGATTTTTATTCAACTTGATCCGGTTTTTGTGTCAAATACTTTAAATCTTGCCACAATTTGACGCCTTTTTTCAACAGATCTGTCATTTCTTTGCAAACTGTCTTTTGGAGCTTTGAAATGTTATTGTTATTTTTCAATGGTACTTATAAGTTTCATTCGATTTCAATTTTTGCTAATGATTAATTTCCTCATCCTGCTTGTGACAAAGACCGTCACGGATGAGGCCCTAGGAATGTATTCAAATCGATTCAATGTAGAAAGTAAATTTACCCTGTGGTTCATGCTAGTTGTACATAAAAGAGGCACGAAAAAATAGTCTCGATTGCCCACATTGAGCAGATATTTTGGAGGAAAAATTGGCAAAACGGCGGTTTTGAACCGAACAGTAAATTGTTGTTTTAATATGACTGCAATTGTTCTAACTAAAACTTCTAGTTACTCTAGATATTAATAAGATTAATTGTGAGTACCATAACTGAGATTTAGCTAATTGTAAGATCCGTCAGAGCAACTTTTCTTGTCTTCTACTAAAAACCAGACGTTTTGGAATCACCTTTGTTTAGAATCAGTCGACGAAAAGAAAGTCAAGATTTGCAAAGGATCGACAAATGATCGGGTGCTACGGTGTGGAATTCTCCATGTTCCAGATGATCTACGTGATCATTGCCAAATTCTTAGAATCATATTGTCACTTTGGAAAATGTGAATCCAGAAGTCGGACAAGCTTTTCAAAAACAATTGATGCTAACAGCTCATTTTAGCTGATCACTGCTTCTAATCAGGATCGAACGTGACTTTCAGTGCTTTGATTCTCCAATGAATCCCATCAAATTTCCTAGTAATTCTGTATCATTACAAATTTTCTTGCACTTGTTTTCTTATCTTCTCATCTTAATGTGTTCTATTGTAATCGTTCAAAGTGTAAGGCCGCCATCAAAAATCCAACCAAATCTGATGCCAGGAAATCCATCAAAATCTGTTGCAACGTTGTGTCTGCAAGTAGGATTACGCTGCGGACGATGAGTACTGTCAGCCACCTGATTCGGATCCGGTAAAATAACAATGAAGTTTCTCTTCAATCCCAGTCACAGAGTTGAAATGCCCAAAAATTTTAATAGAATCGTGACCAAGACTTGTGGTGAACGATGCTCAGGTGTTCGGTTCCTTGAAGCTCGAAGGGGAAAAAAGGATCAACCGTGATGGATTTATTTTGAATTACTTGTGAATGTTGTGTTTGTTTAGAAATAACGTCCACCAGTTATTTTATGGGACACAAATATCAGCGTTGGTGATTGGATTCTGGCTCTTCATAAAACCCGGGCAGCAAGGTGGTTTCGGCGACGAGCACCAGCCATCGCCACACGCAATCTGCTGAGTGAAGTTCCCACTGAATTGTTTTATTCAAGAAAAGCCGCGGACAGAGATTTCTCACTTGCATTGTGAACCAGTCGGCATACAATAACGTGCTTGCGTCATGGTCCCGCACATACCACAAGTGTCATTGCAGAAAGAGGTGGCAAACCAAGGCTGCCAAGTGCCGGGAGGAGTTATCGGCTAAAAGTTTAAGTGGTTTTTGACCTGATTTTGGCACTGTATTTCTTAAATCTATTTTGAATTGTTAGCAAACAAGAGACTTACCGGCTCAAGCTGGCAAAAGATCGTGCCGTCATAAGCCACGGCTTTATAAGTCCCGTCACAACAAGGCTTTCCCGTGCACCCCGAAGCTCCACAACGCCTAACTTCCATTGCATTTCCTCTAAAATTCTTTTTGAACAGAGCATTTTGGCTTTACTTACGTGCATGGGCACCCATATGGTTGAGAAGCACACGTTCGAGTTCGAATCTGAGTACCACAAAGGCCACATGTCGCAGAACAGATAGACCAATCACTCCAATCGTTCCATAATCCATTTCCGTCTAAATGAGCATAAATCTATCTTATAGCCTTGAGATGAATGCTAAATTCAATAATCTCAATATAGCAAGAACTTGTGCCATCCTTCTCTGGAGCAACAAACCCGGTGGACAGCAAATCCTTTCCATAATTGGTGCCAATTCCACTGGTGCGTCCTCTAGTTGACAAGTGTACCTTCTCTGCGTAATATTTAGTTTCTTTATATATGGCGAGCAACATGTCGGTACTGGGAACTGACAAAGCTCATCAGTTATGTGCATTGTTTGTGTGGTAGGTCCACTGTAATGAAATTTCGAGAAATTTTGGAAAGTTAATGCAAATTACTCGCAAGGACATCCATACACAGCAGACAAACATTTCCGATTCTGTTCTTGCGTAGCACACATTCCACAAAATAGAGTGTGATTGTTGAAATTGAAAGGTTGCAAAGGGCCGACATTCACCCAAGCACTCCAAATTCCTGAAATCTTTTTCTCTTCTTTGTTCTTTTATTGGGTCGGTGGGTATGGGATGTCACTATTTTTCCGATTGATCCCTAAACTCGTAAACAAAACGGAGGTGGGGGCTGTTGTGTGAAACTGATAAAAGTAAAAACACTTTTCCGAAAAACAATGAAACCGGGCTTCCTCACTTTCTGTTATTCAGATATTTTGGCAACTTTTGCTGTGGCTATTGAAAATCTACCACCTGAAGATCTGTGTCACGTTATGTGGTACAAATTTCTACAAGGACATAAGGACATCTAGTGTGCAACTAATATTAAAAACCTTTATGCGAAAAGATCAGCTCCACTACGGACATGTGCAAACTGGTTTGTTAAATCCCGTTCTGGGGATAAATCCTTGAAGACAAAGGAAGGGATCATCCTGCAGTCCAGCTGGATAATGACAAGTTGCTCGAAAATTTTCAAACCAACAACAGGCTTTCTTTCTGCGAAATAGCAAAAGAGATATTAGTTGATCTTATAATAATACTCGAACATTGCATAAACTTGGGCTTAAATTGAAATTAGGGACCTGGATTCCACATGACTTAACAGACATCGAGAAATGTCGACGCGTTTCAATCAGCGCCGCTCATCTTTCTCGATACGGTAATCGTTTTTACACCGTATTGTGACAAGGGTTGAAAATGAATTCTAAATATCAACTTTCGGTAAAAGAGTCAGTGGGTTGCTGAGGGGAAAAAGCCAGGACACGTCAAGCCAAAAGTGCATGAGAAGAAGTTTACGCTCTCGGTGTTCTGGGATTTGGAAGACCCCATCTACTGGGAATTTTTGGATAACATGACAACGCTTAAATAAACCAAATGCTCCAAGCAGCCTAGCAAGTCGGTCAAATCTTTGCGAGAAAAAGGACCCCAAAGAGAAAAATTATCCTTTAACATGATAATGCTAGACCGCATGTTTCAAAGATGACTCGTTCTACGCTAAACTTTCTTGGATGGGAGGGAATGATCCATCCGACGTACAGTCCTGATCTTGCACTTTTTGATTACTTATTCCGGGTGATAAGCAATGTTTTGGCCAAGAAATGCTTTGGTTCCGAAGATGGTGTCAAAAAGTGGCTCACGGATTGGTTCGCATTAAAACAAAAAATTTTAAAATGGGCTCAAAACGTCCAAAATAATGGAGACTATTTAAAATGGTTGCATGTAAAATATTGAATAAATGAGTTGTTTATTTTTAGCGACATTTCCCACAAACCCAATAGTTTACCTCCATCCGGACAGCATGTTGTCAAACAATCGTTGAATTGAGGTGTATTTATTTCAAACTAAAGTTGATTTGATCAGCCAAAGTCAATGGCTGAATCCTTACCGTAGGACCACACGCTGTCTCATTGTTGTACTCATCAAGTATTCTCCCAGGACCACAAGGTTGACGCGGAAAAGGACAAACGTTGACATTACAGAGCTCATCTCGTGTTGAAGGACCACTAAAACAGTAAGCCACTTAAAAGAATACTTAACCAACTAGCAGGGACAGTTGTAAGCAATCGAAGTGCAAACTCGAGTATAGGTGATGTTTCCTGCAGCTCCGCAATAATCAGCGCATTGATTTTGTGGAGACCATTCAGACCAGGTGCCATTTAAAGGACAGCACATTTTGACTGAGCTTGTGACTGTGGTTAGAAAAGTTGTTGTCGGGGAGCTCGTTGAACGCGTTTGAACAGTTGTTGAAGTAAGGGTTGCTGGAGGTAGAGCACATAAATAGGGCAATTCAGCGGTGCACTTCTTGTGGCGCCAAGATTTGTCAGATGATTGCATTGTAAGACAGTCTCCCGATTCAGCTAAATTAGATCTTCTAGAGATTTATATGAAAAACCAGCCAAAAAACCCGGCTAACGTCGGGTTTTTCTGGCTGGGTGTTTGGGGACATCCGGAATAGCTCACCGTAGCGGTGGGAGGCACCGTGGTGCAGTCGGGAGCGTACTTGTCTCTGGGCCACGCGGTCCGGGTTCGATTCCTGGCTCTTTCGCCCAAGTTTGATTTCAAAAAAATTTTATTTTAAATAGTACAACTACAATATATTCTAAGGTTTTCTAAGGAAATTTTAGCTTTATTGGTCAAAACATAGCCGAGAAAATACTCGTACAGACAGACAGACAGATAGACAGACATTGCTCATTTATATATGTTACGTCCAATCTAGAGTGAAGTGAGGTCAAACGTCCGATTTAGAATCAAGTCGATCACTCTAAATCAGACGTCTGATCTAGACTTAGATTTAGAGTGATCGGCTTGATTCTAGATCGGACGGATTTCTAGATCGGACGTAACATATATAGTAGATACTTGAGTGTTGAACATTTTGGTAATCAAATGGGCTCCCATCGGCCCAGGTTGAAGGGAAAGTATCGGGTAATAAGCCTAGCCAGCCTTGGCTTCCAACAAAACCTAGAAAAGTTGAAATTTTGAAAATAACCCAAAGCAAACTCTTTTGAATTTGAGCAAAAAGCTCATTTTGGAAGGAGTTATGAATCGAGAATAAATGTCCTCCCATCACTCTGCAATGAGTCTCAGCTTGCTCCCAGGTATCTTCTAAAAGTCTGATCTGATTATCTGATCTGTCAATGGCTGGTTTACCTTGTTGCGATGCGAAAACGCAGAACTCCAAACTCGGATTGTAGATCGAGTTAAAATTGCACGTTTCAGCTGACAAAGTGGTGACGAGAAAGGCCAAAAGAACGAGTTGAAGCATTTCGACGCCCAAACTCTCAGAAAGCTTTTCAACTCTTATACATATACTGTTTTACTCACTAAAAGTTTTTATCAGAACTGACCCGTGGGAGAATTTTATGAACTAAGAAGATTCGCGGATTTTTTTGATAAGAATTTGAAAAACGCAGAGCGTTGAAGCGGAAATCACAAGGAATTTCGCATTTCATAACGTTAAAAAACTCTTGTTCTCCCTGAAAGCTGAAAATTTACTGAAATTGCAGGAAATTTTAATGGATTTGAAACAAAAAGTTTATGACAAAAATACAAAAGCAAAACACATCAAATCTCATTACGCCTTTTTTCCCTCATCCTCGTTCACAATGCGTGCGTTCATTTCCCAGTCAATCGGTTTCATTTTAAAGTGTGGATGCGCTACCGTACCCCGCACAAAAATTCCCCTTTTGCCATTCTTTTCATTTTCCTTCATTTCATTGTGCAATCAGGAACTTTCTCCGGCTTTTATGCCGGGTCCTGCTAAGTTTTCTTCCCGTTTCGTAAAATCTATTATGTTTTGTAGCGCACTTTTAAAGTACGGTTGATTGGAGTCATTTCTAGTATTAGAAACGATTTATTGGGCTGCTTGATATGTCTCTAAATCTCTAAATGTTTACCAGTGTAGGTAAAGAATTGACAAAAACAACTCTTACTTTGAAATCAACAATTTGTTGGTTCCTCTTTCATTCTCTACTTTGTCGTAAAATGTTTATTTTCATTTTCGCTCACATGACAAGTTCATGACATCGAAAAAATTGAGAAAAAAGGTTTCAATTTTCCCTAAATACCTTTCCCTAATCATTTTTTTATTTGCGGCGTTTCAATGAAATGCAACCTTGACGAAAAGGAAAGGAACGTAAAAAGGTGAAAGCCGAGAATATAAAGGACAGATAAACAGTGGTTGTTGTGGTGAATTTTGTTCATTTTGTTGGTGGTGATTTGCTTTCTCAGTCTTGTTCGTTTCTTATAATGAACTTTTGGAAGTATTCCGATTTCAATATTGCATCAGATTACAATATTCCATTAGATTCCAATAGAAATTCCAAGTTATTCTAATAGAAATCCACTTCTAGGCTTGGTATTAGTGAATTTAGTACCTGGTGGTAGAAGGTTAAACCAGGGAATGATAGGCTTAGACCAGAAATCAGACTCAGATCTGGATTCTGGACCAGTAAAGCCAGGCTATGTTAAACTACGCAAAGTCAAACAAGGATAGAAGTCAGGCCAGGAGCTTGGCTTCTGGTCTGCCCTGGCCTACTTGGCGTTGCCTAACCTGGAGTCTATAGAATAACTATGATTAGAACAATTGTTGCACTTTGTGTTGCGCTTTGTGAATTGTACACTTTGTGAACAATTGTGTGAACAATTATCATGTTGCAGAGCATGTTTTCAATGAAGAACGTCTTACTATTATTGTTGATAGCGCTTGTGTGCATTTCGTCGGCAACGGGACGGGGAAGAGAAGGAGGTGGACGGGTCAGACGATCATTGGTGGTGAGTGGAATAGTCAAACTACAATATTGTAATAACTATCATAATCGTAACTCGATAATTGCAAAACTAATTCAAATATTACAATCATTCTCTTATATTTAGAAATGCACGCACTCCACCGAATGCCCTGAGGTAAGTAATATCGTAAAAAATTTTTCAAAAGGAAGTTCAGGGAACAAAATGTTTGGCAATGTGTGTGCCGGCGGCGGCTGGAAATTGTGGACCCGGAACAGGGGTGAGTGATAGATTTTCTTAATAATTCTTCAAACCATAAGGTTTCTCAAATGCCAAATGCTTGAAAGAAACCCAAAGCTGTAGATCTTTCAAGATTTCATTTCATAAGACGCACAATTTTAGCAGGGTTCCTTTTCCTGTAAAGATGATACTGATTGTTAGTATTGGCTTATCAATGGGCCAATGCTAATTCAAAAGATAGAACTTTAAGCTTCAAGAAATTAGATTTCAATTCAAATGGTTTTTATAAATCACAGCTGTTTCTTAAAAGTAGAAGATTCAATTAGAGATTCAATTCTTATTGAAAACACAAATTTAGTGGCCCGCCAAATGTCGAGACTGGAGCCCCGAGGTCCAGAAATGGAATCCTCACTTCAAGGAGTTCCCATGATTTCTGTACCTTTTGTACATATGTACCAAATTTTATTACTTTGATATTGCAATGCCTATCTTTTTCTTTGATGCAATGCAATGCCTATCTTGCGGTGTATTTCTCTATTATGGGTAGATAAAAGTCACTGAAACGATTTTATTTGTACATTGCAACGAAAGATTTTAAAGCATACAGCCAAATTGTAATACAAACAGTCAGCTATTCGTATAATTCACCTGAAAATCATTGGGCACGTTCAAGTGCTATTTTGTTTTTCTCTGCTATCTTGCTATTTATTTTTCGAGTACACGTTCAAAATTATTCAATTCTTAACTAGCTAATGTTCTTAACGAGCCTAGTACTATTGTTGTCACACATTGGTTCTAATGCTTGACCAATAAATTTAGTACAGAAGTGACTCTCAGTCACAGATTCGATCATTCAAACGCACAGGGTTTTAGAGTCGAACTGTGTTTGAGATTCCCAAACTGATTAAACGAACAAAATAAGCATACTTTCACAAGTACTTTTGGTACTTTCAGAAGTACTTTTGGAAAGCTACAAATTGGTACACTATTGCGAACTCGTAGACCAATGTTTCTATGACGTGAGTTTTCATTCATGGCATTCAAAATGAAATGCCGGGCAATTTATTAGAGAAATACGAGACTTCAATAAATATATCACTTCTGATAACCGAAAAGCTCAAAATCTTTGTAGTAGATCGCGTTGAAATAGGCCATTGACAAAGGATTTTGTGTAAATGAAGTTTCCAACTGTTTTGTGCGATCTTTGTCTTTATTCGCATGTGCTGTATCGGAGTAGACAACATGGAACAAGACCTAAAATATGGACTCTAGGTTTTGTAAAGCTCAGCAATAGCTAAATTCCTTTTAATCTCTTTAATATTTATTCTCTTTAAGAGCCAAGTTCAGCTCTGAACTTAAGTATTTTAATAGATGACTTAATGGAAGTTTGGAGCTGATGACTGATACAATTGATATTGTCCAATAGTCTACCTGATCAGAATAGAACTTCGGCACTTTAGCCTCTTCAAAAGCTGTTTTCAGTTCACTGTGCATTGCCAGTCGATCTCCTTCATTGCGGATTAAGTGAAACTTCTGACTGTTGTGAGACAAAATGCAGAACCTAAAGCTCTAACAGTAAACTTCTTTTGTTCAGAATAGAACTTTGGCACTTTAAAGACAAAATGAACCTAGAATTGTACAAGTATTAAAACTTCTTTCTTATCTGATTACCAGGTTTGCGGCTGTGCATGGTATTCAACGATTTTTTGATCAGAATCTTTGAAATGAGTGCCATGAGTCGATCTCGTCGTGAGCAAAGTGTAGACATCTTTTGTGAATTCGTGAATATTTGCCGAGCCGCACATTTGGAGTTGCCTGGAAAATAGCTAACAATAGCTTTTAGAGACAAGAACAAGTATGTCTTTTAAACTTTTAAACTAACAGAAACTTTTAAAAAAATAGCAAGTATGTCTAGTATTTGATACAATCACTCACTCGCATAGGTATCTATAGAGCGAAAGAAAGCGCTTAAGCGGGTGACGAATGACGGCAATCAGCGTGTCTTCTTGATTCGGTTCCCATGTATTGTTTTGACTTCGAATCCCACTCAACTTCTTGTACCAGCCTTCCGCTTGACAATTGCTGAAGGAAAATTTTGAATCTCAAGTTTATGCTTGAGACAGAACCTTACAGGCTTGCAATTCAGTGGACTTAGCTAATTCAAAATGAACAATTCAGGCTAATACAAGATGATCCAAAAGTTCTGGCAGAACTTTTCGTAAAAGCAGCTAGCAAATGTCTAACTTATTTCAAAAGTGGTAAGTGTTATATAGAGATTTAAAGCCCGGGAACTTGGCTACATTTACGTACCAAAAGCTTTCGAATTGGAGTCATATAACACATGTGACAAGCTTTCGAATTCTCTTGATCAATTCAATATTGATTTTTTCGGCACTCTAGTCATCCAACTTTCCTTCTTTCTTCACTTTTCCTTACCTCGATTGCTTTCCCTGTCCATATTCCACTTTGAATGGAATCCCTTTATAATATCGAAAAAGATCGCACAGAATAATTTGCATAATTGTAGCTCCGTTCTTTGGAATTTGACAAAAAAGATGCCCGCCTCATGGAAATTCTGAATGGTTGGGAGTTTTGACAAAACATTGTTCACCTCACCGAACCTGGCTGATCTTGAGCTGGTCGGATCGGGATTTGCGGGACTGTTGGTGAATCTAGAACGTTAATTCAGTATTTTCTTGCTTTATCCTTTGTTTTGTCTACATTTTAAGGCTTGAAAATTGCTCTAATTAATCATTGATCAAGTTTAAACCCGATTCAAATGGACCTTACAGCTGAATTTGGTCAAATCTGAGATCAAAACTGTTCCAGATAAGGTTAAATATTCAATTTTTACCTGCTGATTTGATTGAATCATCTCCTTGACTTGATAAAACAAGAAAGCTGGCAAAAAGACAAAAAGAAATCATCTAAAATCAGAAAAAATGAATCTGTGTGAAGCTTCACACAAAAATTCAGAATGCTTAGCGCTAGTAATTTGAGCTGACACTGTTTGCAGACAGTCATTTGAGCAAAACAACGACAAGCTCTGGCTTTCTTGACTGAAAGAAAAGATCGAAATGAAAAGGAAATTCCATTCGATCTTTATCTTCTGACAAATTGCACTTTCGATTTTGATGTCGAACTTTGTGCTTCATTAGCATTGCGTTGAAGTTTCACGTGCTTTTTTTCTTTTTTCATTTTTACTTTTCAAGTTTCATTAAAATTCTAGACTTGATGTACAAAAAAGACTTGTGAAAATCAAGAAAACAAAAATATTTAGCCAACTTTTCAAGCGTTTTGTACAAATTATGTCATTCTACAAAATAAGTATTCTTTGTTTTTTACCGTGGATGGTTTTTGGGCATAATGAAAGTGATGTAAGCTTTATAATGGAAGTTCAAGTCTTGCTTAAGGAAAATTTCTAGAAAATGTAATATTTATCAGTTCAGAAACGTGTTCTGAAGGTTTATAATGGTGGAGAAGTGATGAATCACTATCCATTCATGGCGGCCATCTTTATAAATACGAGTAAAGGGTCAGTGATCATTTTTGCCTTTTTGTTTTTTTTGTGTTTTTGTCGATGATCATTTTTGCTAACGAACCACAAAGTCAATCTTTTGAGCAGCTTGGTCAAATCTCAAATCAGTCAGGGTTTTTTCGGTGTTGAACCTAGAATTGGCAGGCTAATTTGATGTGATTTAGCCCTGGCTTTTCTGGGTTCTGATCCCTTTTTCTGGGTTCACACGGCTGGCCTAAGCATTTCGACTTTAACTACTTCTCTTTCTGTTAGACTTTAACTACTCCTCTTTACATGGTGATCAAAAAGTTACAAAAGAAGCTCGATTTTTCAGCTAAAACCCAAATCGAAATTCAACTTACTATATCGTATTTTGAAGCTGAAACTCTGGGGAGCATTTCTACACCTAAACCATCCTGATCAAAGCCACCTAGCTCTTCAAAGAACCATTGTAGTGCGCTGGAGGCAAACTGTCATCGCGCTCACCTATTTGAAACTCTTTTCAATTGAAAAATCCTTCAAAAGACCTTTTAAATCTACAATTTTGTTTCAAGTAACAGTTCAATTGTTATTTTAAAAGAATCAAATCTCTCGTCAAAATAAAAACGTAAAATAGTCTTCAAAAACATGCGAAACTGTGTTTGTCTGATGGGCGGTTTGCCTCGAATGCAGGCTTCTTGAAAAGGGTAAAAATTTCTGATCGGAGTCTTACTTATAAAAATGTTCATCAGAATTTCAGCATCAAAATACTATAAAATACGGGAAATTTTGTTTTAGCCTTTTGTTTTAGCTTTCATTTAAAAAATGAGTCATTTACAAGTGTGCGGGGACTTTTTGATCACCCTGCAAAATCGAAAACAGCAACTTTAGCTGGATGTATGCTTGCGGGGGAACGGTGATTGCCCGGGAATGGATCCTCACAGTTGCACATTGTTTGGAAGAGATGGTGCAGCAGCCAAAACGGTGAGTACCGTAAATATTCCAATAGACCCGGGTCTTCTATTTTTCAACCCCCCAAAATCGGTCGGCCAAAAAGTAAGTAGGGGTCCCCCACTTGAATCAATATTTTAAAATTGTTAAAAACTACAGGGTGCGCCGTAATTGGCGCAACAAAATAAAGTTCTGATTTTAAGGCAGACAAGAGGAAAAAAAGACAAATTTTTCACTGAATAACATTTATTGTACAGTAACAATTATAAATGAAATATCAAATTCGAATCGGCCATCATTAGCATTTGAGCAGGCGTTTTGGGAAGGCGTCAATGGTGGCGACCAAATAGGCTGGATCGAGCTCTTCCCACACTTTCAACGGTGATTTCTTCAAGCTTTCTATGTTTTCTGGGGCTTTGAATAAGCTCTGGCTTCTAGAAAGGTAAATATCTTTTCATCTGTGAAAAACATATTGTGATGGTCGATTCCATTGAGGCGCGTTAATAACTGATCCGCTTTCAATTTCCGCTTGTTTTTAGCGGCACTCAAAAGAAGTTGAGCCTTGTTTTTCTTGTAAGCAGTAAGTTTGCGCCTATTTTTGAGGTGCTTGAAATCGCCATCTTCTTTGCCATTTGCCTTGCCGACTGGTTTGGCTTCTTCCAAATTCGGTCCCTCACTCGCTTGATGTTTGTCTTTGTGACGACAGTTGGACGTCTACCGCTTCTTGGTGCATCAGCAATTGTTCCCGTAGTTTCGTATAGTACGGAAAATGACACTTCTGTCGACTTTAAGACGCTTATTATACTCCGGCACCGAGACTCCTCGCTTGTGCAATTCGATGATCGATTGTCGATGGGGATTTTCCAGCCATTCTAAAAAACAACACATTTTATATGAAAAAGTCTCAATTATATTCCAAATACAATAAAAACACAAAATAAAACCAGAAATGAAGCTTAAATCAATGAGTTATTGTCCTTCAATCAGCGTGATACCTTGTTGCGACAATTATGGCTCACCTTGTATTCGAAACGATAGACCTTGGTTCAAAACGCACCAAAAACATGTTTAAATGTGAAATTATTTTCTTACCCAGACCCCATAAAGAATCTCCCAAAAAAATCCCTGTGGAAATCTTTGAATTTTTTGAAAGTGATAAATGATCCGATGTTTCCAATTTTACTACCGAGGATGAAATTCTTCTATCTAAACCTAAATCTCCCATTCTAGCTAAAAAGAAGTCCGGAAAAGTCTCGATTTTGAGGGGTCGAGAGAGGGGTATTCTATTGGAGAAGGGTAGATTAGAATAATTACGATAGTTGGGTTTTGAGCAAGTCTTTGCACTTTCCCTTTCAGCCTCGTACTTGCGAAAGATCTCCTCGTTTTGGTGGGAACTAAACGAGTCAAACAGCCATTGGACACAACTCACGTCGGTCTTTTTCTTGTTCCTTTTAAAGCTTCAAATCTAGTCTTTAACTTAATCTAAACTTTGATAAGAAGATGAGAAGATTGAAGATTGAAGATGTGAAGATTTAGATGAGAAGATTTAGATGAGAAGATTCGTGGCTGCATATTTTACTCTAAAAGACGTAGAGATAGGGTTTAATGGGATTCGACGAGGAGACGTGGCTCTTTTGCAGGTTTTGACAAGATAGCTGTTTAGAAAAAGATTCAGATTTGATTTCAATTCAGCTCAAATACCCTCTTCTATTCGGTGAAAAGATCAATCGAATCGTGATCCCGAAAGCTAAGCCAAGTCTCGCCGAGGGGCAGATCATTGGATGGGGAATGATGAATACAAGTGCTAATTCTCAACCTGCGATTCTCCAATCACTTATCATGAATCTTATTTGGAGTGTAGAAGGATGTAAAGCAAGAATATCGGATGCTGATGATAAGGAACGGTTTGATGAAACTCAACTCTGTGCTTATAGTTTGGATGCGGGTGCTTGTGAGGTACAGGTTTTCGTTTTTTCCAAGATTGAAAAGTGTACATCGGCGCGAAACATGGTAAAAATGTGTTTTCTGATGAAATTTCTTCTAATATATACCATTCGACGCAGAATTTTGTGCTGATTCCAAAGATCATAATGATTTTGAAAGCCGTCTGACCAAAAAGCAGCTCTTTCTGAAGAGTCCAAAAAATTAAAAGTCGATCATATTTTCAAGATCATAGCAAAAAATTTTCTAGTCTGCAATCAGATTTCGCTTTGTTTTTATTTAAAAGAAGAGCTTTGAAAAGTTTTTTTACATTTTAACATCAAACAAATTATTTTATAAACCTAGAGTTTTTAAAGTATTGGGTTGGGGAGAATGAGTCGGCGCCGAAAATCAAAGAAATTTCTAAAACTTATAGCAGACTTTGTCAAATGATATGCGTTTGATATCCGTAGAAGGGTAACTAATTCTCTACAAAATAATATTTAAAAGAGAACTCAAACAGCGCCTCAACTCAACAAAGGATCATTTTTTCACAAAATCGATAAACTGTCATCTAGAGTAAACGGTTGGAGGGATCTTCCTGAAAATTTGGCAACTTATGTAATTGAGTGTGCTCTATCTTTTTTATATAAACACCAAAGGAGGTTTATGTGGAAGAAACTGTTCAAGCAATGAGTCGGACTTTTGTCATTTTGATTAGCTGTGTTTGGGAATCCATAAAATCCCAAAAAAGAAAAGCTTTGTGGAATCTCTCAAAAGCCATTTTGTAAAGAAATAGTGGACCATTTTGATGAAACAAAACGTGTATTTAAAGAAGGTTTTATGGGTGCAAAAAGTTTCTTTAAATTTCGGCGCCGACTCATTCTCCCCAACCCAATAGAAAGTCCACCAATTTTCCGAAAACATGGGTAAAGTTTGGAGGCCTGGTTTTCAAAAAAAGTTTATTAGAAAAAAAAAATTTCGTTTAATAATTTTTCTTTTACATTTTGTTGCAGTTATTTTGGTAAAAAAGTATGCAAAAATATCCTTTCTATAAAAAGTTATGTTATGGTTATGGTTTTAGGGACGAGCACCAGAAAACAGCGCAAAAGGACAGCTTTTTCCATGTTATCTTTATTTTAATGCTCAAAATGTTCAAAAATCTTAGAGTTTATTAAGAAGTGATGCTATAATAATATTGAAAAAGTTGAAATCAGCACACAATTCTACGTCGAATGGTATAGATTAGAAGAAATTTCATCAGAAAACGCATTTCGCGCGGATGTGCAGTGAGAGATTTGTTTCATGATCACTGAGCACTGCAATTGGTTTTCGTTTGGCGGTAGTGATGAACATAATCACACACTCGTTTACATTCAATTTTCGCTTTGATCAAACAAATTTCAACTCCAGGGTGACTCTGGTGGGCCACTCTTTCGAGCATTCCCGCATTCTCGCTCCATTCTCCTCGGATTGGTCTCAATGGTGCAAGAATGTAACTATGAGGGAGAAAATATCGGTGAATTGTAAAAGCCAGCATTCTCCAAAACATCAACTCTTTAGGCATTTTTGTGAACGTGATCAAATGCTGTGATTGGATTCAGAAAATCACTGGAATCGATGATATTTGTGTCGACATTCCAGACCCGAAGAAACCCGATCCAGCAACAATTTCCGCGGCTGATATGACAAAGCTGGCTTTCTGCGAGTTTTGTCCGGTGAGTAACCAAATTTTAACGTTAAAGCTAGTTCTGCTGATAAATGTTACATTGCCAGATTGCCCTTGACTGGGTGAAAGATTTTCTCGATGATCCACAAGGGAAAGACTTGGAACCAACGGTGTTCGCTGGGAGAGTTGCTGAGAAATGTGCATCATACAGTCTTTCAGAAGGAAAAATCAAAAATGTGGGTTTTTTAGGAACTCTTAGACCTGGACAAGTGCTTAGCAGTATATGATTTCCCAATTGTATTGCTGAAGTTGTTGGAAAATCCAAGCTGAGACTGAAAACTGCCATAGTTAGCCAAGCGAAGTTTTCAGCGATCCAACTGCAAAACGACTGTTTACACAATTGTTCTGACTGAGCTGAAGAAAGTGAAAGAAAACGCAATCAAAGGAAAAGAGGCCGAATTGTGCAAAAATTGGTTTCCCACTCAAGAATGTATTGCAATGAACTGGGACTCAAAGAAGTAAATGAGTTCAATAAATGGATGCATCATCGTTCATTGTATCACTTTCTACAATATCTACTGCATAGAACATACAAAACACATTTTCAGTCCAGTTGCACTTGTTTTTACTCAACTAATAGTGAAAAAATCCTCCTTTTCTTGGAAATTCTCATAGAGTGATGTGAGAGTCTTGAATCTATTACTGGGCCAATTTAAGAATTGCGACCTTTTTCCGAGAAAATCCTGGGTTGGCGCTTTAAAGCGTGGTAAAACTACCGTACTCCTCCTAATCTGTGCGAAATTTCATTTTTTTTATTCTTGTTCCTTTCATTTTATTCTTTTTGCGTTTTTCTGATGTAGTTGCGTTTCTGGCTGTTTCCCTGAATCATGGTCGTTTGAAAGTTGGGGTCGACGTTGGGCGACATTGCACAAAATCCCTCGTGGGCTCAATAGGATATCACAAAGTTGGCAAGGATATCTCTCTTGGCTGTATGTGAAGGTCTTCACAAACATTTGCGTGTCCGAGATAACGCAATGCGTACCAAGCCTTGCGTTTTGCTGGAATGCTAAAATTGTTGTTCATACGCTTGTTCTTTGAATTCTGATCAAATAAACTGGTGCATGTGGAACTTAATAAAATAAAAAACAATTTCAGAAGACTTTTTATTAAAAAAAAAATTGCAAAAGACCACGAAACGAACTTTTTTTGACAAAAGACCACGAAACTTTCAAAAGGTGATTCAGGGAAACAGCCGCATTTCTTTTTTTAGTAAACAAAAAGGATAAAGCTAAGTTCCGTTTTTAACAGCATTTTCTGTGGCGGAAGCTTTGTTTGTAGAGTTTTTAGATCCACCTTCTTCCCGACGATCTGTTCCACGAACTTGATGTCAACTAATGTTAAGTTAAGTAGTTTTTATCATTTTCTATGGCGGAAGCTTTGTTTTTTGACTTTTTATTTGAAAAGGCCTTCAAAAGAATAAAATGAAATGAACAAGAATAAAAAAAATGAAATTTCGCGTAAATTGAAGGGATACCGTAGTTTTACCACGGTTTAAAGCGTCAACCCAGGATTTTCTCGGAAAAAGATCGCAAGGACTTTAAGATCTTCTCGAGTTGCTCAAGCGCAAATTATCTAGTTGTTTGACTTACTTACTTACTGTTTGGCTTGTCTTGGCCTGGTAATTTTACTCTAGGAACAATGTAGGAACAATTACTAGGTTGGCGCAAATGAAATTTCGTTTTTTTACAAACATTAAAGTCATCCAAAATTTTTTTAGATAACAATTTATTTAAAACAATAAGCACCATTATTATCTATGACATCCCTCCAACGTTGCTTCAGATTGCGGATCCCCTTCTCAAAGAACGCTTGATTCTGTGATGCAAAGTAGTTGGTCACCCAATTTTCGACTTCTTTTGCATTCTTAAACTGGCAATTCTCAAGGGAATGTTGCATCGATCTGAAAAGGTGAAAATCGGAGGGTGTTAAGTCTGGACTATACGGCGCATGTGGTAAGACCTTCCATCCTAGCTTCTCTAGTTCCTTACAAGAGGTTTTTGCCGTGTGAGCTGGAGCATTATCACGGAGAAAGTTGATAGTTGAGGGATTTAGGCCTTTTTCACGCAAAATTTCGTCAACCTTCTTGAGTTGTTGAATAAAATAAGATGAATCGACTGTTTTTCCGGGCTCTAATAATTCAAAATGAACAAGTCCATTGATATTCCACCAGCAAGACAACATCACTTTGCGCCCATGATAATCCGGCTTTGGAGTTGGAATTGGCGCTTGACCTTTGCTCAGCCATTGTCTTTTTCGAGAAGTATTATCAAAGTGAATCCACTTCTCATCCATCGTCAAGATATTCTCAAAAAAATGGCTTCTTTTCGACTTATGGAGCAAGATATGGCTGATCGAAACGCGTGCTCCTAGATTCTCAACACTCAATTGATGTGGAACCCATTGTCCATTACGATTTGTCTTTCCAATTATTTCCAAATGGCGTACAATTGTTGAATGATCACATTGAGATGTTTGGCAAGTTCTCGTGTTGTTTGCATTGGATCAGCTTCAATTAATTGTTCCAATTCATTGTTGTCGATGGCTGTGGCACGATGTCCATGCGATTCGTCTTCAAGGGATTCATTACCATCTCGGAATTGGGCAAACCAGAGCTGGCATGATCTTTCGGTGATAACCTGTTCTCCAAAGGCGGAACAGAGATCACGATGTGAATCAGCAGCGTTTTTGCCCATTTTGAAGTCATAGAGAAGACACGTGCGCAGAACATACTTTTGATCCACCATGATCTAAAGCAAAAATCAATTAAAAAGTGAAAGCTCTGACTTTGAAAAAATGCGAAAATAAAGTAAATATCCAAGAGTACAAATGCACAAAAGAACATCAAATAAGCTCTTCAGATTAAAAAAATAAGAACATTTTATATAGACCGAAATTTCTTTTGCACCAACCTAATAGACCTTCTATGGTGTTTTTCATGCATTTTCGCTTGACCTGGAAATTGGTTCATTCTGGAATGGGTTCATTCAGAAAATTGATTTATGCCGAAACAATCTTGTTCATTCTTGTCTACCACGGGTTTAAACCAAACCTAAACATGTTGAACAAGGCATGTTTTGGTGTTAGACTTGTACTGGCTTGTCATCTTCGATCCGTTCTTGAAGTTTTCCCTTTGTCCTTTCGATTCTCTTTATGCGAATCTTTTTGCGAAACATCTCCTGACCTTTTCCCTTCATAAATCCCCTTTATACAACTTCTTTTTCATAGATTTCCAGGCAATTATTGCTTTTTCTGAGTTGAACTGTAGCTTGGCCTGGCTTGGCTTGGAAAATTAGGTCTAGAACGTGATCTATGAATAATTTCTTCACCGATCACTGGACACTTTCGATTCGTCTATTCAGAATTGGACACAGCATTTGGTACAAAGATCCCGTTTCCTTGCGAAAACCCACGCATGACTTGAGTGATTTGGCATCGCCTGAATGATTTTCTTTGAAATGCAACCATGATGAATGTAGTTATTGTACTTTCAAGTTGTTGTTTTGAAAAAGCTTGGTACTTGATTTAAATTGGCTATAGAACTGATTTTATAGAATTTCATAGAATTTTATAGAAGTTCAAAGAATCTCAGCAAGTTTCCAAATCAAATACGCAAAGTTTCGGTAAATTTTTCATTTGTACTTAAAGTTTTGCCTCACAAGTTCCAATATTTGGATGCTAAACGGTAAATAGGAGGTTTTAAGGGGTAATTTTATGATTTAGAAAAAAGATAAACGTTCCAAACGTGACTATTTTCTTTTTCTGAGCATTTTTGGGGTCGAAAATAAGATCATAAGTCATCAAAGTTCTCTATTTGACGTTCCATTCAAGAGATTTCCTTTAGCTCATGCTTTTTTTAATCAACTTCTTTGAATTCTCTTATTCAGTCTTTAAAGTGCATTGAATGAGTTTCATTCAATATTGTCCTGATTTCAAAATAGCTTTCCTTTGGCTACAGGCAAATGAAACAAAGATCACAACTAGACCCTTTCAAATGCGGTTTCGAAAAACAATTTGGAAACTTTTTGAACTTTGGAAAGGTACAATAGCTTTGGAAAACAAAGAAAGCAAAGAAAGGCAAAGAAAAAAGCCGAGAAACTACAGCTACAGTAAACTTGTCTCATTTTTTCTATCCTTAATCAACTTTAGTTTATAGCATTCCTGATTCCTGACAATCTTTTATCCCGAAAACCTGAAGAAGCTGAAAATTTCTGAATCGGTTTTGAAGCATCTCTGACTTTCAAAGATTATGAAAACAATTTTCTGACTAATGCTTCAAGAGATTTACCGGGCTCATGCTTTAATCCCTTTCATAAGCCACAGTTTCTATCCAGAATGGATTTTCAAATTCAAATTCATTCAACGATTTCATATCATTTATCCTTTTTTTTGGTTCAAAACACTCGCAACTCATTTCCTTTTTATTTTTCTCTTTTCTTCTGACTCATGTAGTTTCCCAGACGGTTCAAAGTTGGCTTTTGAAAGGATTCCGGGAAGCGGATACTATGTAGCCAATGGATAGGCTCCCACGAAATCATTCTTATTGTTCTTATTGTTCTTATTGTACCTGGAGTCTGTACTGAAGAATGAACCAAGCCTTTTAAGGAAGATTTATATTATCTTTTTGCCATTACATTGCTTGGCAATTTGTCACTTTACGACCTTGTTCTCGAGGTAATTTTTCTGGTTCAAGTCAAGCTAGATAGGACCAAGACCAGTTTAGAAGTTAGCCTGGCCAGTTCTGGCCTGGCTTTGCTGCAGGCCCACAAAAAGTCTTTTGGTCATTTTGGCCTGAACCTGGCTTCCTAGCCTTACCTGGCAAATCTAGGTTTGGCTTTGTCTGACTGGCAACTGGTTTTGTCTTATCTGGCCTGGACTAGCTCAGTCAGAGTTCTAGACTAGCTCGGTCAGGCTAGCCCCGGTCCTTGGCCCCGTTTAGAACATCTCCGTTACGAAGTATTCATTCTTTCATCAAGTCTTACCATTGAAATTGACCAAAAATCTATATCTTTGTTCAGAAATGGAAGACGAGCTTCACTTCCATTCAATTGGCACCACAATTGCCACCTCGGCTGGAATCATTTTCAACGTTTTCCTTCTCTACGTGATCGTCACCGATTCAATGGTCTCTGCAACGAAATACAAGAAAATGTTAGCAATAATCTCAATCTATAACATCTACTTTTCCGTGGTGAATAAAGTCACAGAAATGGTTAGTTGTGACTTTTGAATTCGTCCAAATTCAATCTTTTAGGTCTTTCTAATCAACAAACGTGGTTTCTTTTGTATATCCAAGAATTTCTCTCGTTCTGGCTCCTATTTGGCAAATTGGTGGGCATTGGTTTTCTACATGCACACATTTGCTCAATCACTGAGTCTTCTTGGAGTGCATTGTCTCTTTCGATACTCGATGATCACAGGGTTTGTTTTATGAATGATCATTAGCCAAAAGATTGTTGAAACTACTTATTCTTAATAGTATTTTATTGTAAATTAACTATTTCATGTTTCAGTCAATTCCAATTCCTTTTCAAGCGTTGGTGGGGGATCTTGCTGCTTTTCGTTATTCATTTCACTGTAGCCGCTCTTTACGCTTGTTTTGGCATCTTTGGACTTGGCGTGAGTTTTTAAAAGCTTTTAAATTGTCTAGATACATTCTAGACAGATATATTCTACAGAATAGCTGCAGTAGATACTGTAGAATGACTTCTAAAATATTCTTTAAAATACGACAATTTAGCCAACGGATTTTCGGCGCTTTCACTGGACAGAGGACATGAAAAACTATATGGGAATAGCGATCGATGACCGACTTTACTATTTCGCTTCCGTGTTCAAGGTGAGATTAGAAAGCTGTTGAATTGAACTAAAACTGTTTACAAGAACTCTAAAAGATTACGATAAGATGCATAATCTTACTGTAAACTTTAAATAGCAGACTTTCTTTACACTTTACTTAATTCTCATTTGCAAAAATCTTGTCAAATTCCAAGGATATTAGTCACTAAAAATTGGATCAAAGCCCAATTCTGTACTTGCAATTGTGCCAGTCTGGACTCTTTTTTTAGACTTTCACAGGTCTATTAGAGTTAGGTTTAAGTTCTATCAGTTCTATCTTGTAAAAATTGCGTCGGCTCTATCAGTTCTAACTAGTAAAATCTTGTAAAAACCATTTTTTCTGTTCAAAAATTTGAAGTTTTTGAGATTTAAAATGCAAAAAAGAAGATAGCTGTGTGTTCCCTGGGCGCGAGTACAATCGCGCCCGATCTGGCATACTACTTTTAGTCATATAGTCCCTTTTCAATTTTAGAATAGGAAGCGTCCATTTTGGGTCATCCGGTAACCAATCCGTTGTCTGCCCCATGTAGTCACCGCTTCCCAAACTAACCTTGGCTGTAGAATTGGTAAACCCGATTCCGGCTCATTTTGACCACAATGACGGGTTCTCCGTCGGTCGGAATGGGATCCCAAGTGCCTGTAAAAAGGTGCTGAAGGGAGCCGCTGTGAATTTTTGGATTCATCCCAAGGATTTCGGTCCGCAGGGGCAGCAAAAACTCATGAAACAAATCGGGCAAAAGTTTAATTATTCTTGTACTCAAATACTCCCGCCAATATGTCTCTCATTTGGATGTGATGACTTCACAATTCACAATGACCTCCTGCACATCTTTCTGATGATTTTGATGTGATGACTTCAAAATTTTCTGGATTCTTCTCAATGTTCTAATGGCTAAAATAAGGAAATTAGGGATCTTTCTGCACTTTGTGCACCCTTCTGACGTTTCTGACCTCACATGAATGATTTGCTTGTACTTGCTTTTGGTTTTTGGCTAATTTTGGTACGGCCTAGGCTTTGTAAGTGATAATAATTGACCCACATAAAAGGTAGAGTGGTGCAGGAAGACGGACAAGTGCCGGAAATTACATTTGAACAATCATGTAACTTATGCAAAAGATATTGTGAACACTTGTAGAGTGTGGAGTGCGTTTCCCTCTCGTCAAATTTCAATTTACTCAGCTTATCGTTGAGTGAATACCCTAAAATTTAACAAAGAAAGACAAGAATGCCATTTATTGGGAGAAACACTCTAGTTACAAGCATTTATAAAGTCCAACGTAACCATTCTTTTTCAAGCAATCACCTCAACTTACAGTTGTCTTAAAATGTAACCTTCTAATGGGTAGAATTAAAAAAAACTGGTTTCAAGACGCCCTGGCTAGTTAGAAGTTCAGCAGTATTATTATATATTATTAGAACAATTATTATGTAATCTAATAAGTTTTAGTACTACCGTAACTCGCTCAAAGCCCTTTTAGGAAAAGATTTCACCTGTGCCAATTTTACTTAAGTCGATTTTATCGTACATTTATTCAGTACCTCGACGAGAACGATCAAGTGCATTATGGATGGGATATCCTAGGTGGATCGGGTTGTTTCCTCGTTTGCGGGATTTTCTATACAATCGTGTGTTGGACGGGGATCAAACTGTGAGTGGGCATTGGATTGGAGATGGAAACGTTTGTTTAGATACTCTTTTGTGAAGAAATCCGTGATGCCAGCCACAAAGAAACGAATCCAATTACAGCTGCTAAATGTACTGCTGGCTCAGGTGAGAAATCTTTGAAAACAACAAGAATCAGGGCCCGGTTTCACCACCATTTTAAGTCAGTTACTAGGCTTAAGTCAGTCAGTCAGTTATGTCACTTAGCAAAATTCCTAAGCCGCTGACTTAACGAGAAGTTTAAGTCACTGACTTAGCTTAAATCAGTGACTTAGCGGTGGTGAGCCCAGAATACAATACGTTAAGTGACAGGGTGGTTAAAAAGTATTATTGTTTTTCAAATGCTCACAATTTTTCATAAAATTGCTTTAATAACAAATTTATTGAAGCAAACAATGTAAAAATATCCAAAAAATGTATGTGAAAGTTTTTAGGCAATCTCTCCTCTCGTTTGCGAATGTTTGCCAGTTGGAGCGGTGGTTTATGGAGGGATTCTTGGTGAGTTGGGCACAGGATTTCGAGTCTAAATTTCACTTATGACCAGAATTTGATGAGCATCTGTAAGTAGAGTTATTCTAAAAGCAAACTGGATCAGGTAAAGCAAGGCCACAGTAGAAACCAGGGTAGAAGTCAAGTCCAAACTGGCTTCGGACCTTACCTTACCTAATCTGGGTTAACTTTGTAAAACTGACCCACAAAAGTCTATCCTTTAATCAGACACGTTTTCAGGCATCGTTCAACCCTACCAGGGCATCTATGTGACAACTTTTGTCTCTGGATACTCAGCCGTTGATGCGTTGTTGACACTAATCCTATTTAGAGTGGGCTTACATTGTTAGCTTCAAGAAATCAGTGTTTAGGCCTACCGTAGACGTGCACTAACCATCTTCTTGGCGCCATTTCACGGTTGTAAAACAGTTGGACAAGTCTACAGTCTAACAAAAACATCAAAAGGATTAAACAACTCACAAACAACAAGTGAAAATCCGGCACAAACGATCGAACAACAAGAATAATAAACGATTCTATTTGATAGTGAAGCCATTTGTGTAAAAAGACTATAGAACAACATCAATAGCAAAACAAACCTTTCCCTTTTCCACGTTTCATTAATTGATTACTTTTTTATAGACTAAACAACTTTGTTATGTATTCATGATTGACTGTTATTGACTAGTGATGCTCTGTATCTGTTCTTTATCGCAAAATGGCTAATGTCTTGAACTTTTTTTATATTATTGTCATTAAATGAGATAAAATGCTCCAATCCAACGCTACACCTCCACACCCAACGTCAGAGAAGTGAATAGAGAACCGAAAGAACAGAACAAGAAGGTTAGTTCTAGTAATTTTATGATCACCGTATTTTCTCTAATAGTAGTGCACCCTGAGCGTCGCCTAAATTGCTCGAAATCTCGAGAACCGCTTATCAGAACCTATCGATGTGGGATCGGAAAATGTAGCTGACGATGAGATCTAGTGGGGATTAGAGTGTTGAGCTTCTGCGAAAACTTCGAAACCGGAGAATAGAAACCAACTCGGCTCGCCGGGGTGCACTACTATTAGAGAAAATACGGTAATTATCACTTTGGCCGAAAAGTTTTGTCTACTTTTTCGAAATTTTCGTTTATAAATGAATAATCAGCCGATCAACGTGTTTTCTTTAAATAAAAAAGACTAACTATTTCATTTAACTCATTTTTAGGCAAATTTGAGTCCGCTTTCAAGCAAATCCGGACAGGAATTCTTGTTTTTTCTTACATTGAACATAAAATGAAATCGGTTGAATCAATTTCTACGAAAATTTGTCTACTTAACTAACTTTTTGTGCTCTATCTTTTATCTATAGACACCAAAAGTAGGTTTCTTTGACAAAAAGTGCTCAAATCAGAACTTTGAGTTTCATCGTTTCGTCCTTTTTTGACTGCTCGACTTTCCACTTTTAAAAAAATTAACGAATCCGAGCTTTTCAGAATTTCTTAAAGGGAAATTTGTAAAGAAATAATAGGACTTTCTGTCCTATTATTTCTTTAAAACAAGCCATAAATCGATTGTTCATTATTCATTTTAAAAATTAACCCTTAAAAAAAGTGGACAAGACTTTCTGGTGAATCAGATTCGTGTATTCAAATTTACTTTGCACAAAATTGCATGAACTTAACAAGTAAAGCTTTTCGTACAAGATAAATATCTGATTTAGTTTTAGTTTTTCTAATAACAATTTGAACATTTCTATTCCCTAATGTGTTGTAAAAGATCAATTTCTGATTGATCTACTTCGGGTCGTCAATGTAGACAAATATAGACAACTATATGTCGTAGCCGATTATGAATGAGCGGATATGGACACGTCCAACCATCAAGTATTTGGTATCATTCAACGCAGAACATTAATAATTATGTTAAATTTTTTAGATTAGAAAGATTAGATAAAAAGAAAAAAAATTATGGGGCTTCAAAGTTTTCTCTTGAAAAAACAGTTTTTCTGTTCTAATTTTTTTTTTCTTTTTATCAAATCTTGCTAATTTTGAAAATTTAACATAATTATCAATGATTCTGCGTTGAATGATTCTAAATACTTGATGGTTGGACGCTCCTAGATCCACCCATTCATAATTGGGTTCCACCGATTTTGAATGAAACGTTGTAGCGCCGGCAATTTTTAACCTAAGCTCACAGATTTGGTACCAATCGACGCAGAATTTAATTCGCTACAAAATGATTTAATATTGTCCTCATACATTAAAGGGTCGCTCTACTAGAAAGATTTGTCAAAAAATTTCATTCATAATCGGCTACGACATATATATGTATGTCGTAGCCGCTTACGAAATTCTTTGGGGGCTTTGGGGGCTCAAAAAAAATTTTCTACTGAACCAAATGAGCTAATTTCAAAAATTATTATAAAATATATGTATTATGAACATTTTTTATGTGGGTGACTTTTTGATTGGATGCCCGGAAATACCCTCATTCGTTAGCGGCTGGATTTCGTTAACGGCTACGACAGAGATATATACAAATTTTCGATTAAAGCATTTAATCTTGAAATTTTACTAACTCAAACTTGTTTTTAATTGCGAATTTTTCGATTATCTATCAAATTTTCATTTACAAGGATCCCCATTTCAGAGACAAAGGCAAAAAAAATGATCGACTCGGTGAAGCCGAGTTGATTTTAGTAAAAAAACTGACCCAACCCTTTGAAGTCTTTTCTTTTGGCTATAGTCTGAGAAAGAACCTGTTCTTCGCTTTGCTGCCCCATCCTTTCATTTTCACCAAAATGGGGTCGAGAAAGAAAGAAAAGGGAATGCAAAAAGAGTTCTTGCCCCCAATTTTCTTTCTTCTCCAAGTCATAGAACATTTGGAGCCCGATTTCATTCAATTTCGTTTCAATTTTCCTTAATAATAACTTTGTTAATCAGGTTTTAAGCAATTTGAACTATTTGAACTATTTCTTGAGTTCTTTGTCATTTTATTCACTTGGTTCTGTAAATAGAAAATGAAATTGCTTTATTTACCTGTTCTTTTTTATAGCTTATGGCAGTTAGAACAGATTTCTTCTCTCTTTGCAGTTGTCCAACTCTTAGAAACTCAAAAATAAGAAAAAGAGCCTGAAAGAGTTGATATCTAGGTTAAAGTTTGTTTTTCTTTGAACAGTTTATCGTTCTACAGATTCAGTGACTTATTCCAATTGTCATTTCTCATTTAGACATGCTCAAGCCAATCTTCTTAAGCCTCCTGCTGACCATTGGAGTCTTCGGGGTTGAAATCGAAGAAGAGGAGAATGTCATCGTGCTGACAAAGGTCAGAGAATCGATTGAGTAGCTCAGCGACTTAACTCCAAGACACTTTTCAGGAAAACTTTGATGATATCGTTGGAGAAACCGAGTTCATTCTTGTCGAATTTTACGCTCCATGGTGTGGACACTGCAAAGCTCTTGAACCCGAATTTGCCAAGGTAAAGAATTATCCAGACAAAGGTCAATAGTCAAGCCTACAGGCAGCCACTCGACTCAAAAAAGATGGCTCAGCAATTCGACTCGGAAAGCTGGACGCCACAGTTCATGAGGATATCGGCGCGGAGTTTGTCACTCGTGGCTATCCAACGCTGAAGCTCTTCCGAAATGGAATTCCCCTCGAATACGCGGGAAAACGAGACTCCGCTTCGATCATTGAATGGCTCAAAAAGAAGGCTCAACCCATTGCAAAACTTCTCAATAGCGCTGACGAGCTCAAAGAGTTCTCAAAATCTGCTGATGTCACGATTGTTGGGTACTTTGAGGTAAAGTTTCTAAAGATCTGCAAGAGTATTCAAAGAATTTGTTAAGTTTTTGATTCCAGAATGCTGACAGCGATAAAGCAAAGTCATTCCTCGATGTTGCCGCCGAAATTGAGGATGTGAAGTTCGGAGTGTTGAGTGACGAGTCCCTCAAAAAAGAGCTTAAGTTAGAGGGTGAGGGAATCTTCTTGTTGAAGAAGAATGACAATGACAAGACATTCTTTGATGAAGAGGTAAATGGATCGCAAAAGATTTTAATGTTTTAAGCTTTAGCTCAAGGCAGACACCCTAAAAGCCTGGATTCAAGCCAACCGTCTGCCACTTGTCGCTGAGTACACTCAAAAAGCTCGTTCATCGCTTTTTGGTGGAGAGATCAAGTCACATAACTTGCTCTTCGTCTCGAAGAAATCATCGAAGTTCGAGAAGATTTTTGAGCAATTCAAAACGGCAGCCAAGGAATTCAAGGGCAAGGTTTGATCATTTTGGCTTAGGGAAAGGGTTATATCATCGCCATTAGTTACCGTTTACTAATCGGTGAAAAAGCTATCGTACTCTCTTTGGATAATAAACAATTTCATTATCCAAAGGATAGCTGATAGTGCGAAGGGTACTATAGCCAAACTCCAGCTGGTTTAAGCCAACAGGGTTACGGTAGTTCTCCCACTAGTTAGAAAGTTTCAGTCATCAGTCTAATCTCAGTTCATAACTTCATTTATCCACTTGTTCCAGGTTCTCTTCGTTTACGTGAACACGGATGTGAAAGAGAACGCTAAAGTCATGGAATTCTTTGGAATTGTGAACGACGATCTGCCAACTATTCGAATCATTTCTCTAAAAGAGGACATGATCAAGTTCAAACCTGATTTTGATGAGCTCTCCACCGAGAACATTGCCGAATTCACTAAATCATACTTGGACGGATCGCTGAAGCCTCATTTGATGTCAGAGGAGATTCCTGAAGATTGGGACAAGGCTCCTGTTAAGGTAAAAAGTTAGATCTAAAATATTTTACCTAATTTTTATCTATAGCTAGATAAAAAAGCTAAAAAGCTATACTGTAGCTAGATCGAAAACTCCAGGACAAGCTTACTCACCATCATTTTAGGTTCTTGTCGGCAAAAACTTCAAGCAAGTTGTCGAGAACAAGAAAAAGCACTACTTCGTCGAGTTCTACGCTCCATGGTGTGGACATTGCGAGCAATTGGCTCCAATCTGGGATAAGCTTGGAGAGAAGTACGCAAATCACAAGAAAATCGTCATCGCCAAGATGGACAGCACAGCTAATGAGGTGGGATTTTGTGAAGGGTACTTTGTGAAGAAATACTTTTAACTTCAGCTATGACACTTTTAAATCATCAGCTTTAGGTTGAAGATGTCAAAATCCAAGGCTTCCCTACCATCAAATTCTTCCCAGCTGGTTCAAAAAAATCAATTGATTACACTGGAGAACGAACACTTGAAGGACTCACAGAGTTCCTTGACGAGTTCCAAATCAAAAATGAAGGTGTTGAGAAAGAGGAAGAGACGAGAGAAGAAGAGGAAGACAAAAACGAACACACGGAACTTTAAATAGAATCTAAATCTTGCAAAAAGCTTTGGTTTCAGTTGATTTTTTGAACCAGTAGTAGTCTTTTTGTTTTGATTCCTGTTCTTTTTATTCTATCACCCCGACGGGTCTTCTAGTTGTGGATTTACTACTTTTTGGTTGATTGTGTATGAATAAAGAGTTTATCCCAAGTTTATTTTAGAATTTTTGCTTTAAAAGTGACTTACACTTTTGAATTTTCCCTTACTGTATGCCTGACGAGGAGATCATTTCGTAAACGCCCGCCTTCTGGCGCATAACTGAGCATCTAAACGGCAAAACGCTTACTTGTCAGTCTTGAAACTCAATATGTATTTTTTTAAACTATTCAAATCTTTATTTAACATACGGAAATTGGCAAATGATCGAAACTCAATTAGGGTTGATGCAAAGGAATGGACAGTGATTGAAAGTGGTAAACAAAGAGGCTAAAATCTTAAGTAGACTTTAGTAACAGCTGTAAAGCTTAAAATGTAAGACCAGAGCGGGAATAAGATCAAAAAACATAATACAAGCTATCAATTGAACCCCGGCGGCAAGAGGAGACGAACCCGCGACCGCTCTCTTCCGTTCATTTGAGAGACGTGCGCGTTAGCCACTCGGTCATGCTCTAGTAGATGGCGCAGTGCGAGCGCACTTGTTTGTAGCCCACACGACCCGAATTCGACTTCCGCCAGCGTCGGTACTTTTGGTTTTTTATATATTTTAAAAATGTCGCACAACTAAATGAAACTCTAAACCAAATAACTATAAATCATTTGAAACGGTTCTCTGGGGGCTGAGGAGTAGCGCGCACAAACAGACAGACAGACCGACAGACATAGATACAGACAGACAGACGTCTTAGTCCCTTTATATATAACCAGCTGCGCTGGGCTTCTGCACGGATATTCTACCTAGAAGTACTGAGAGCACATAGCACAAATCTGATTGCAGATTCGGATTCCTCGCCTCCGAAAGCCCCTGAGTACAAATTTTCTAGCGCACTTCGTTGTAATTTTACGTTAACGCGTAGACAGACAGACCGACAATCGTTTTTTTTTATAGTACAGGGTGACCAAGAATTACCGCAACAACGTCGTATTATGTTATGAGCCCCATTTCACGTTCTGCTTACCTGTCTTTATGATTTTTGTGTATTTTCTTATTTTATGGTATGATTACTAACTTTCAATACATTAGTATTGTTTTCAGGGATGGTGAAAGCGTCTCCACATCGAAAATCGATATTTGAGCTCAAACGGCAGCGTGTTCAGGCGAGCGAGATCTCAAAGCGCCTGAATGTCCCCAGAAGCCTCGTTTCTCGAACCATTCAACGTTATGAAACTCTGGGCACAGTTTCCGATCGCCCTGGAATAGGTGTAAAACGAACAGCGGCTACTCCGGCTAATGTCAAGAAGGTGCGCGATCGTCTAAGATTAAACCCTAACCAATCGGCTCGAGGAATGGCACAGAAAATGGGTCTGAAGAGAATCTCCGTCAAAAAAATCATCAAGAAAAAACTGAAAATGAAGCCGTACAAGAAGAACAAATCTCAATTACTATCAGCTGCTGCGAAGGGCAAGCGAAAAGACCGATGTGCCCAGCTTTTGCAACAGTTCAACGGAATCGATCACCACAACATCCTGTTCACCGATGAAAAGACATTTACCGTCGAGGGAATTCTCAACAAGCAAAATGGTCGAGTTTGGGCAAAATCTCAGCCAAACGTCACCGTATCGCGCAGTTCTCATCCTGCATCGGTGATGGTTTTTGCCGGGATAACCGCCAATAGAAAGACCCGTTGATCTTTGTTCTTCAAGGTGTGAAAGGGTATGCGGTCAATTATTTGGCCTTCTAAAGAAGGAGGTTCTTTCGGGGTTTAACGTCACTTCAAAAATCGAATTTGGACTTATCAACTAGATGGTGCGCCGACTCACAAGGCAAAGAAAGTGCAAGAGTTTTCTGAGTGGCCACCCAGCTCTCTTTAGACTTTAGAAGTACTAAACTCGACCTAACACCTACTTTTAGGCTCAAAATTATGGCCAAAATTGTGAAACAATATGCACAATAAGATCCTTAAAACGTTGAACATTTGAGAATGTTTGCAAATGAATTTATCAAATAAGAATTTCCTCTCATCTGCTAACCACACTGATCCTTGTTGTCCTTGTGGTTGTTGCTAGAAACTATTCAATAAAAACAATAAAATAAATCCAATCAATCTTTTCCCAATGCTTACTTTTCATCGCAAAAATGAACTGAAAGACATATTGTCGATAGGTTTTCGTCGCAAAAATGAGAATTAGAGAGTTAAACGGAGAATAAAGAATCATTCCCAATCCAAAAGAGGCGGTTACTGAGTGAATTTTTATTGAATAAAGTGAAGCTACAAACCTATATTCTCAATTGAGACAAGGGTGGCTTTCCAAGTGTTGCTTTTAAGTGGGTTCAACTTGTGCTATTATTTGATAGAATCTACCAAGAAATCTATTTTTGAATAATCTAACAAAACCTTTGCAGTTACTACAAATGCAAGGGAGTCGGCTTTGAAGAGGCTACAATCCGAAAGGAGACCTTACTTGCTACTCGGTGAGATTAGTTGAATTATGAACTGTAACTGAATTGAACTAAAAGAAATTCGGTATTGAACTGTATTTATAAAAGAAGAATGCTACCGTAATCTAACTGTTTTTGGTTTAAACCAAAAGTGAGAGTGACTTCGGTGACGAGTCTTCTACCCTTTGATTTCTTTTTCTAGAAAATCCTTTTCTAGAAAAACAGGTGTTTTTGAAGCAAGTTCTAATTAGAAAAATGCTCAAAATCAAATCATATTTTGTTCAAAATGTTTTGCCCAACTGATGAAGAGCTTTATAGGATTCAAGTCTTTTATAAAATCTTCATCCTATTGTCGACAATTTTGTTCGTTTTCGTTCTCCTTGTTATGTCGCAGAACAATTCTCCCGCATCAAAACTATATAAAAATATTCAACTTGCGTCACTGGTTTGTTGGTTGTTTAGTTTTGTACCAGAAGCTTCACTCGTACTTTCCAGCAAAAGAATTGACGGCAAGAGGAGGCTAACCCGGGACCTCTCTCTTCCGTTCGTTTGAGAGACGCGCTCGGTACCCTCTCGGCTACTCGATGGCACAGTGCGAGCGCACTCTAGCTCACACGATTCGGGTTCGACTCCCGCCCGCGTCGGCACTTTTGGTTTTTTTAGAAATTTAAAAACATGTTTCACAACTACATAAAGTTCTAAGCCAAACTAATTATAAATTTACAAGTGAATCTTGGGGAACTGTCAATCAGTAATCAGTCAATCGAAGTCTTTTCTGTTTCAGATTGCAGCACAACTCTCCGATTTTTGTATGTTTTTCATGCAACAAGTCTTCATTTTACCATATGGTGGATGCATTTTCGGGAGGCCATTTGATTTGTCGCTTGATATCATTGCTTTTATTGTGGTAAGAGCAGAAGATTGGAGTGTTTTGCTATTTCTAATACTCTAATAGAAGCCCCTACAGGAGCGTCGAGTAGTCTAAGTTTACTCTCAAACAAACGCTAATGTCTCGACACGAGTACGCTTGTTTCTAAACTTTAGGTGTCAAATTAAAGTAGAAAGGATGGGTGATTTTTTGAGATATAACACGTACTTTAAGCATTACCCAGCGCCTAGAAAAAAGGATTGGAAAGTGGCAAAAAAAATCGATTTGATGATGATGAATGATGATGGCAAAAATGATGAAAAATCGGCTTTTGTGGCACTTTTCTATCATTTTTTCTATTATAGTATTTACGTTCGGCTGTTCAGAAAATCTTTTCGTTCCTTTTGTGCTCTCTCTTTTATCTATTGACATTAAGATAGGACAACCGCAGGTTGAGTCTCAATCTGGGGTATCTAGTGCTGGCAACTAGCGCTTCGACGGATCTTTTCGCTTGAAATTTTTCCCATTCCCATCACCCTAAAATAAAAAGATCTAATATTTGCAGCCTTTCTATTATCTCCTCAATCTTTGCGGAATTTGGTCAATCTTTGCTTCACTTCTCTATAAACTCTATGTTCTTGGTTACTCGAATAAAAACCGAAACACCTTTGTATTCCTTTGTGTGGTAGCCGGATTGTCCAATAGTGCAATCGAAGTTTTGATCTTTTTTATGGAATCTGAGCCTCAAACAACTACAACTGCTGCACTGGCGTCAACTTATGGATTTAATGAGAGTACTAGAGTACTGGATTTGCTAAAAATATTGTAATTCAATTTAGCTATTTATCCTGAATGCTTTCTTCAATCAAAAACGATAACTTTCTATCGAAATATCGATGCAGCGAGTTACAATATTCCAACCGGGATTTTGGTTGTTTATCCAAGTGAACGTAAAAGAATTTACTTTAGGTTCTCATCAATTTTATCGAGCTTCTTTACATTACTTTGTTAGTAAAGAAAGAAACAATACGCACAAAGAGAACAGCAAGCAAAAAGACAAGAGAAATGTTGGCCTATCTGCAACTAGTTTATAATTTACAGGTGAGAATAAAATAGATTAGAGTAAAAGAATGAACTAGCTTGAAATAAAGGTCCAGTTCCAGAAACTGGCACAAAATCGGCTATTTAAACAGTAAAAACCTTTAGATTCTCGCCTTTTCCCTCACCGAAGGCTTATCGATCACTACTTTTATATTAAGTATTACGAGAGTTTACTCAATTGAGAATATTGGTTTGTAGCTTCACTTTATTCAATAAAAATTCACTCAGTAACCGCCTCTTTCGGATTGGGAATGATTCTTTATTCTCCGTTCAACTCTCTAATTCTCATATTTGCGACAAAAACCTATCGACAATATGTCTTTCAGTTCATTGTTGCGATGAAAAGTAAGCATTGGGAAAAGATTGATTGAATTTATTTTATTGTTTTTATTGAATAATTTCTAGCAACAACCACAAGGACAACAAGGATTAGTGTGGTTAGCAGATGAGAGGAAATTCTTATTGGATAAATTC